GACCTCCGTCGCAGTTCCGCCCTTCGCCGGCCTCGTGCGCGCCCCCCGGGTAGCCGACCAACAGCTGCCCTCGGCCACCCCCGCCCCCGCCGGCTGCACCCAGCTGCCCCTAGCTGGCCCGGCCCCGACCTCTGCCCGACCTTCGTCGCAGTGCCGTCCCCGCCGCTGTGCCACGGCCGTCCTTGTCGCGGCCCTGCCGCCCGCGCCCATAGCTGCCCCCGACCGTCCATGTCAGATCACCCCGCCCTGCAGCCCCGAACACCCCCAGCCCCCTCCCCTTCTTTCTTTGCAAGATTTCGTGCCCTATGGAATTGTGCCCCCCGCCCCTCTCCGCCACATCCTTCCACCCTCTAACTTATCTACCTGTTAAAGTAATTTTCTTTGTATTTTTTTATTTTATTTCATTTGCAGATGAATTAGCTGTACGTGACCATGAGATTGTGCCCTTCAAGCCAGGTGAACTGGAACGCTTCCTTAGAGCATTACCTGACAACCCAAGTCTAGAAGAGGTCGATCACGTTGTGAAAAGGCTGCCTTGTCTGGCACCACAATCTGATCTTGACGTATGACATTTCTAATTTTTTCAGTGATTTTAAAACAATTTTTTTAGGGGTTAATATATTTTTTATTTTGATTCCAGGTGCAACTAGTGAAGGGTTTTCCCGTGTACATAAATACTTATATGCTTGCTACGTTGCACAGACTTTACGAAACTAAGCCTGGTGCATATCTGTCGAAGCTTCTCACGGAGCTAGTACCTCCTAAAGTGCAAAGGTTGCCAAACTTGACAGCAGTGGGGAAGGGGTCAACCAAAGTTGGACTTCCCGAAATTGTGCTGAAAACTCTCATAGGTATAGTACAGTACAGAGAATTTCTAAAGCAATGAATTTGTTGAGGTAAAATTAAAATAACTGAAATGTATCTTCCAGTGTACGTGGACAACCGTTCACGGGGCGAGTACAAGCCACACAATGGCTTCCCAAACGCTATTAATGCTATTTTATCATATGAGCGGGACTGCCGATCAACAGAGAATGATAGGCACCGGTTCGTCATGGACCCTCCTGGACCTCTGTCACGCATTGGTACGTGCTGTGTAGTGCCAGTGGGGGGGGGGGTGCATTATAACATCAGAGATTAGGCCCCTAACTGCTTCATTTTTACAGTTGCTGCAAGAGAGTCCACACTGACAGTGGTCAGGCTGGACGGGCCTACCTCAACTACCAGATCTGTCCCTGGTACCGCTGGTACCGCTGGTACCGCTTGTACCGCTGGTACCGCTGGTACCGCTGGTGCAACTACCGTTCCTACTGCTACTATGGTTCACGATGCAACACCCACAGTCATGGGAATTGCAGCTGGTAACTTGGACCAGACACAAACATGGTCACATTCCAGCCATGGAGAACAGAACCTGGAGCCTCCACCCCCAGGAACAGATGAAGAGCAAAGGCAGTGGCCCCCTAGGGAAGGATCTAGCTTTAATTTTGTTACCCACATGAACATTATGAATGAAACAGGATAGAAACTGCTCACATTATTATTATTTG